AAAGTTACAGCATTTTGAAGTAACCCTTGTATTTTTCTCATGTATGTTTGGCATTATCCGATGTGCACTATAGAGAGGTTGGCAAACGGATTTTGCACATTGTGTGAGTGCGGGCGTGTGTAAAACATACACACACGGTGTGCAAAATCCGATCGTCAATCTATCTGTGCACATCGGGTAATGTTGATTATACTCTCTAAATTTTCTGGAGTGAATCTCACTCTAAAAGAGTGAAATCTCACTCCAAAAAATTTAGAGAGTACATGAGAAAAATACAAGGGTTACTTCAAAATGCTGTAACTTTGTGAAAAAAAATCGTAGCGACTTGTTTTTTTTTTCAAATTAAAGAGAAAGATTTCAATTTTATGACGCTGGAAACCGCATCCCCGGAAAAAATTTTAGCAAATCTGTGCACTCGTTCAAACTTTGCAATTTTCAGTGTGGCAAACATGCTCTCAGATTTAAGAGTTTACAGCAACAGGGGTGCATTAAATTTAAAATCGACTCACAGTATCTTAAAGTAGAGATTTCAAGCTTTCATTTGAAAAAAAAGTTTATTATTTTACGATGATTTTTAGCGGAGTTACCGTTAACCAAAGTTGACCAATTTTTGCTCAAAATTTTTCTATGCCATAATTTTTTTGAGCAGTGTATATATACATAGGTCTATTTATATAGACATAATTATTTTGAAGGTATTACATTTTTGAAGATGAGAATTATAGGAATAAGTTATTAAATACCTTTAAATTAATGAAAAGGATAGATTGTATTTTCTTAAAATTCTTCCTCTTCTTCCTCCTCCTCTTCATAGTCCTCTTCCTCTTCTTCCTCACCTTCATCCTCATAAAGTGCTTCTTGCTCATCAGGCGCTAATGGTACATCCTCCACTCCTTCGGGGAAATATTCCGTTATCATTTCTTGAGCCTCCTCATCAACTTCTGTCACGAAGAACGGCTCGATGCCAGCAAAAGCCAGGAAGGTTTCTTCGTTGATTCTTCGAATTATCACTACGAATACCTCGACGCCAGTTTTGTACTTCACCTTTGGCAAATAATTTTAATTCGCCAAAAATATCGTTAAATTGTAACAAAAAAATAATTTATTTAATTCTCTATTAAGCTTATCGAAGAGAGATCCTTATAGAAGAGAAATCATGTATTTTTATGTATCTGATTAAATTTGATCGGACCAGCTGCGTTATGATTGAAGGAGAATAAGTGCACCTTTTCGAAATCCTCGGGTGAAGACGCGAGACGTCTCGCGTAAGGCGGCCGATCGAACTCGAAGGCACCGAAATGTTCGATGGCATCACGGTTCAATTCGTACGCGTCTCGCACGATGCTGAATTTCGACGCGTCGAATTTGAACGCGCATAATGGCGGAGGAACCACCGGCTCCTCGTAAGAATGAGCCTTCTCCATGTAAACCGGGAATAGAGTCTTGTAGACGTGAACTTTACTTCTGGCCTACGAGATTTCGCATATCGTGTTTGCAGCAATCTCTCGCTTTTAATAAAGTTTCAATAAATAATACTTTCTTGTAAAAATAATAATCTTGATTTATAAAAGACTATTTGTAATAATTATATGTTATCTAGAATTTTCCTTATCTTCATATTAACTTAATTCGACTTTCCGCTCAATTAAATTTCGTTCAATTTAGTGAATTAATTTTCAAGCATTCCTCCAAAATAGAGACGCTTCGTCGTCTTAAAGTTACCTGAGGAGGTACCCAAACCGCGGGATGCACGCGGCGCATGTCGCCCTCAACTTTCGGATCCGGCTCGTGCACATGCTTGTGCCTCTGAATGTAGGGTGCATTGTAGGTTGGCCTGATCATAGGCTCGTCATTTTCTAACAGAGACGGCGGTCCTTTCGTGATGATGCTGATGAGATAATTCTCGACATCATTGATCGCACGGATCGGGCACTTCACGGAGTTGCATTCCGGATTCTCGTAAGGATAATGGACCGGCCAGTCCGAATGGGGCGGCTTGCCTTTCAACCTCATCGCCATGCATTTCCCATCGGTTAGCCCTGGAGAAGCGCGTTCGCATATTTTTTTTTCTCTGTTTCTTTTCCCCTTCCCCTTTCCTTTACTTTCGAAATGCCTTATAAATGACACAGGAAAACGCGACTGTACATACGTGGAGAGTGAATATCATGAATAGTAAATCGCAAGTGCGACATATACAATCTGTCAGTTTATTACATCACGCAGATCTCACGGTTATTTCTGATCCTGGGACCTGCCTTCCCATGTAGTACCGCACCTTTTATCAATTCCTCGGTGATGTCGACGCCGCTCTCGACGAACATCTTTTCGATCATGTCCTCGTTCAGCTGAATTCGCGCCTCCTCCTGCACGTCGTAGCACTGCCTGAAGAGATCCTGCACGAGCTCCGTGTACGGCGGACTGTGCATCTTGTCCCGCGGCCTTCCACGCTCGTCCTTAAAGACCCACGGATAAAGCACCAGCGCCGTGTGCTCGCACAGCTCGAACATCATTTGCGCCATGAATCGCTCATATTTCTCCAACCTCTCAGCTTCCTGCCTCGCTCGTTTCTCTTCCTCCAGCGCTCGCCTTTTTATCGAGATCGTTTATTTTTTTTTTGTGAAATATACGCGACTTTTTTTTTCAAGACCGCACTTTATTAGCCTTGGGACGCGAGATCGTTGCGAATAAAGTCTCCGACAATATGTCCGGATAAAAACAAGGACAGTTAAGAGGAAAATTTAAAATGCGCGACAAAGCTATTGTGCTCAGCTGTAAAATTATCATTGCACTACACTACAGCCGTTTTACGTTTGCTACATTGCTATATACCATTCAATTTTTTTCACTTATTACAAAGTAAAATATTACAAATTGCAATCAAAGATTTCTTTTAATTCTACAAAATCGATTTTTCTTCACCTAATGGCTTCTTGCTTTTGCCATCGAATCTCCTCTTCGGGCGCCCGTTCATGTACGTCCAAATGCCACTTCGGGACTTCTAATTGCTGCACTCTCTTTATCTCATTCGTCAGCAGCTTCCGCAGGCTCGGGCAGTGCGCGCCGAACATCAGATTCACCATCTTGCCGTCCTGCAGAAACATCCAGGTGGGTTCACTGCGACTGCGAAATCTCGCCAAGTCATCGATGTCGTCGTTTCGCGCGACCGCATAGTCCACCACGTTGCCGCCTATCTCCATCTTGATCTTTCTCAGGGTGCTCACCATGGCAGCGCAAGGCCCGCACCAGTCCGAGTACACGTCTACCATGATCAGGCCCGAACGACTTAGTAACTGTTGCCATTCTTTCTCGGTGTTCACCTCGATTTGCAAGGCCACGGGTCCAGTTTTCTTCATGATATTTTGTCGCGGAACACGAAGGTACTTTAACCTCGCGAAAGGACAAGTGCTCTGGTTAATCGTGTGAAGTGTCGCACGAGAGATAAATGCGGGATGAAAAATGACGTGAGAGTGTTGTCAGTGATCTTCACAAGACGGTTTTTCTGAATCGTTGAAATGGAAGACTGGCATGTTATCTTGAATACTTTTGAGAATATTTTTAATTGTAAATAATTTTCTTTTTTTCTTTTCTCTGCAAAAAGTATAACGATTATTTGGAAACAATTTTAAAAATTGAAATTAACAATTTTCATCAAGAGTTAAATAAATACAAAAAATTCGCAAATTTTTTTATATTACTTTTAAAATACTTTTAAAAAAATAAAATTTTTCATAAAACTTTAACTATAATATAAAAAAGTATAACGATTATTTGAAAACAATTTTTTTAAATAAAATTAAAAATTAAATAAAAAAGCACAAAAAATTTGCAAAAAAAATTCTTTGTATTTATTTAAATCTTAATTAAAATTGTTTATTTCAATATTATAAAAAATGTTTTCAAATAATCGTTATACAATTTCAACTTTGCTTCATAATATTAGTAAAGTTTTGTAAAAAATTTTATGTATATTTTTAAAAGTAATTACGTTTCCGATTTTCAACTGATGTTAATGACGAAACTATTATATTTTTATCGATAAGAAGATCCATCCAATAATGTATATTAATATACATATATATAATGTATTAATATATGTATATATCTGCACTGCAAATGAGATGCAAATGAGTTGGCTTGTCACTCCTGTCCCTTAAAGAGTTTCATTTCTTAATTCAAATATATCTTACTGCTGTGGCGATTGCATCGCACAGCCCAGAGTTGCAACTGTAAAATAATTAAAAAAAAGTAAAATACAAAGTAAAATAATTAAAAGAAAAAGCGATATAATAATCTAGCCTGATAAGACATACACACACATACACATACACGTACATACATGTTAACAAAACAAGCGGATCGGTTAGCGCAAGGTCCCCACTTGCTAAACATTAAATTCAATTACTGAGGACATAATTCAATTTTTAATAACAGTAACTCCTTTGTCTTTTTGAGATAATAAATATAAAGATAAATAAATGGGGAGATCCGCTCTAACCGATCTCGAAAAGGTCAGGGAACGAGAAGTCGAATACAAGACACCGAGCTGCACAGTCGCATAGTGAGTCGCGAAATAATAAACGATTGATACTTTATCAATATAAGAACTTTGAATTTCTGTTAAAAACCAGCACATAACTAAATCCTACGCGCTCCGACATCCTAATACAATAAAAGACTTTAATACATAAAAGAGGTACATTAAATTTATCAAACTGCTATGAAGCACAGAAATTTGGGATTACACGCAGGTCTTTCTTATATAGAGAATGTCATCGTGTGAATTCCAGAAATTTTACCACAAAGAATAATTATATAAGTAATACCGTTATTTGAAATAATATTATATTCTGTTGCTACTTGTCCATATAAATGTAACGGCGCTTAGAGTAGATACTTTATAACATAATGATAATGATTATGATCGGATAACGGTCGAATCATATGTTGTCAATTGTAATGACTTTATTTATTTAGCATTAAACAGCTTGGCTTGTGACCTTTACTTGGTTTTTGTTAATTTCAAATATACGCTTTCTTTCCTCAAATTCTCACGATTCTCCTGGATTAAATTTCAAGAAAATAATCTTGATTTTGAAAAGACGAAAATATATTTTTCCGCTATGAATATATTAATAATTTCCTGTCCAATAAAATTTTTACGAAAGTCTGAATCTTTATACCTATAATAATTGTAACTAATTAATTGTCGTGACACGCAACATTGATGTAATTTATCCCTTCATTTTTTTCCAGTTCAATCTATTTCATGTAAATTGAGCACGGAAGCTTTGCAAATTAAGCGATGTTAATTGAGGTCGCCACACGTGCCGCCAAGTATTGCGCCAAGTATCGATCCTTGTATTTCTTTTTTGCAACGTCCAATAACAAAACGCGCGGATGACCGCGCGCGAGTGTGTCCGATGATCGAGGCCAGACCCGATTTCTCGCTGGATAGCACATTTCAATCGTTCAAGAGTTCGTCGACTACCGACACACGAAGATTCCGATTTGCTGACAAATTGAAACGGCGAAATTGGAATTTGCCGTGTTGCGTGGAAAGCTGATTCTGAGGTCAAACGAGTTCAAACTACATGAAATGCCTGGAAAATCGTGATACAATCGCACAATAAATCAAAACTGCAAAATATAATCGTTCAAAGAATTATATTCATAAAAAAATTTATGTTTATGAAAAAAGGACGAAGAGAAGAACTTATAAAGTTATAAAGTTGAAAGGAGGGGAGGAGGGGAGTGTTAGAAAATGGAATTTTCAAAAGTTTTGGAGGCGCGTACGTATCTGTGAAGTTAGCATATCATATTTTGACATCGCACGAAATGACAATAGTTCTGCTCGCATACACTATGGTTTTACAGTTCTTGATAAGTTTTAGCAATAGTTCTGTCGAATTACGTCAAAAAACACCGTTTTAAAAAATGAGATGCTAACTTCACATTTCATCATCCAGCATCTCACATTCGAAAGTATGAGCTGTAAAATACAAGTATTCAAAGAGTTCTATCGTTTAAATTCATTATATTAATAGTTCTGGCTAATAAACAAAAAAAAAGCCCGATAATGGTACGTATGGATGCATATATGTGATATGCTGCTCGGTTTTTAAGAGTTCTGATTATTCCATCGCAGTTTTAATGCATTTCCGATCTCGTTTAAGTGTTTTCTAAAGAATTCTGGCGTTAAAAATTGTTAGATTTTTTAAAATAATTTTTATCGCCCGATAATGGTGCATATTCGTACATATAAATGATATGCTGCTCGGTTAAAAGTTCTGATTATTCCATCGCAGTTTTGTACTTATAAAAGAGGAAACCTTAAAATATTTATTTAAGCAATATGAACGAAAAAAAAATTACTTGTGTACGCTGTCAGTGGTATGAAAATATAGAATCTGAAATCTACTAATTGAAAAAGACAATTTTGCAATTAATGAAGCACTTTAAAAGACATTTCACAAGGTACGCCTATATCACATTTATTCGTAAATAAATTTATTAATAAATTAATCTTTATTATTAAATTTAAATTCTTTTTCTCCGTCGCACGGTTTTAATTTATTTTTAAATTGTATAGCATAAAAAATGTGATATTAATATTCCGTTTAATTTCGTTAATTATTAAAAATTGTGCGAATCGAAATAATAAAAAATTATAAAGATTAATTCATTGTTAAATCTTTCCATAGCTTCACTAAAGTCAACGAGCTGACAAAAATGGAGGAAGAACTGCAAAATATTTTAAATAATTATTATAAAAATATGACAATTCCGCAAAATGATTTATTTGAAGAAGAGGAAATAATAATACATCTTCTTATATTAGACGAAGAGTAAGTTTTAAATATTAATTAGTATAATTGCATTTAATATAATTTTAAATTATAATAATTATAACAGTTAAAACAGTTTTTTGTAACATTTTTAAATTTTATTGATACACCAATTCAAAAGGATTATAAGATCTAAAATGAAATACTTTAGAAGTGGCTTATATAATTAACTAAACTCTGAACCTCAATGTTGTGACATGCAATTATATCATATATATGGTATATAGAATTGGATTATCTGATTCCAAACTCGCAGTTTGATTTCAGAAGAGGCAGATCTTGTGACGATTGTCTGGATCTGCTTAATCTGTATATCTATAAGGCATTCGCAAACAGAAATCCAATAGGAGGACTTTTCCTTGACATTAAAGCAGCTTACGACAATGTAGATCCTTTTATACTGTTTGAATCAATTGATACACTTAGGATTCCTTTTGGCTATAAGTATCATTAAAAACCTAATTAACCCTAGAATAGCTAGCTTTTTTGAATCCGGATTCTTTTATGGCTCCAGAAGACTACAGAGAGGTCTCCCTCAGGGGGTGGTGCTGAGCCCTCTTCTATTCAATTATTATGTAAGACAAATTCTCAATTTCATAGCGCATAACTGTCAAGTTTTACAGTTTGCCGATGACATCGCGATTTTATATATAGATTTTTCAATTGGCAGAATTATGAATGGCCTATCGAAAGCTTTTGAAGACCTCAACGGTGTTTATTGGTTTGGAGATATCAATACCCAAAACACAATTCATAATCTTTAATCGACTTAGATTTCTTAACCTCCCTATCGATCTACAAGTGGGTGATAAACTGATTCCTTTATCGAATACAGTCAAGTATTTAGGACTCACCTTGGACATGAGCCTTAAATGGGGCCCACATTAAAAATATACGTAATAAATCCTCGATATTTGTTAATATTTTGAAATGATTGTGTGGAAGAAATTGGGGAATTAATCTTTTAGCTGGAATTAAATTCATAAATGCCACTATTGTGGCCCAAGCTGAATGGGGTTTAATGTGGTTTATAAGTATCGCAAACTCCCATAGAAAAACAATAGACAGAATTATATGCTCTGCATATAAAGTAACATTGAATATCCCCAAACACTCCTCCAATAAAGTGACTTGGATTTTTTCCAAACAACTATTCTTTCAGAGAAGGGTAACTAAGAAATCAGACAAATTCTTAAGTAAAACGATACAACTTAAACACAATAAAATTATTAACAAAATTATTAACTTTGCTAATGACATTGCTAAAAGAAGAATGCATCCGTGTCCCCTTCGTCATCATATCAAGGTGGTCGACAATTAATCGCTTTAAAAACCATCTGTACACTGAGAAAAATGGTTTGTTTGTACCAACAAGATGTATATGGCTGAATGAATTTTGGTGAAACCAAACAGAATTTCGGATTATAATAAGAGGATTTGATATTGTATA